ATATTTTTAATCGGTCGTCATATGTGTACATAATATATGTACCATTCACATTATTGCAACGAATACATAGATTATATTTAGTAATCTATAAGTATATATATAAAAATGAATAGCTGTTCGTTAGTCTCGCTAAAACTCGAGAACGGCTGGACCGATTTGGCTAATTTTGGTCTTGAATTATTCGTGGAAGTTCAGAGAAGGTTTAAAAGGTGAGAAAATATAAAAAAAGCTCGGAATTATATAAAAAACAATTTTGTTTTTCCTTTGATGTGTCCCCTTAATGTGTCTTTTATTTATCGATTGAGGCACTTCGAAGTCTGCCGGGTCAGCTAGTTTTTAATATTTATTAATTTATTAATAGTTATAGTACAAGCTATTTTGATCTGTACGCTAGAAAAAATGTTTGGTCCGTATTCGTGTGGAACCTTAAAAAAACTATTTCTTTGTAACACAACGTTCAAAAACAACTCGACAACAAAGTAAATGTTTATCGCTTTTAAAACGTAATACGTAAAGTCCTCAATTCCAAAGCTTTAAACTGTTATAAAACGCATGTGTCGGTCGATCGGTTTATTGTTAAATTAACTAGGCTAATGACACTCGATTGGATAACCACGCTGTCTGTCAATTTGTAAGTTGAATTAAATTAACTGACTATATAATCTCAATCAATTAAACCTACGTGTGTTTGATGATTCTGTTCAAAATTTGGAGCTATTGGACGATTGTGACCCATTCATGGAAAAAATGGTGTAACCTAGAAATCGTTTATCTATCTTATTGCTTATCTTATTCATCTATGTTCTGTACCTTATTACTAATACTGTTTCATTGCTCATCTGGTGTTAAGCGGTTACCTTAGCTCATAGATATCAACAAAGTAAATGCCGTCACCCACCTTGAGATACGAGTTATAAGTCCAGTTGTATAACCACTATTCATACCGGCAGAAATAGGCAGGACGCTGGTTGGACTTCAATACCAAAAAAAAATTTTTCCTTTTTCACTTGCAAGATCACCGATTGTCGATTGAGAGAGATGAAAAACATTGCTTAATCAATTATTAGATCGAAGTTAAGGTACGTCAAACAACTGTCGCCACAAAGCATCGCTGTTTAGTTTCATTTAATTTTAGTTCGTAAATGTATTATGCAAATTGATGTCCCAATAAACAAACTATATTTGCTGCCGAAGTTTCGGTATTAACGGTATTCAGGTATTCACGGTACAAAATTATAAATGTCATTAATTTTTTTTTCTACCTATGCTGATAGCCTTGTGAGCCTATTTCAGCTTTTCCTTGACGTGTAGGTGAGCTCACGGGGCTCAAATCGGGAGTGTTGCTAACACTGGCCCTAGCAAGAGCAGTGCTTAGCAGAATCTAGCACTGGATCGGAAACGCTACCCACTGAGAAGATCCGGCGAGAAACTCAGTGGGCTAAATGTCATGATCATAATTGAGTTTAATCAAAATTTAGACGAAATATTATGACACACAATGATTCAATTCACAATGAGATAAATTATATATATACTTATTTCAAACTTGCATCTTTGCGTAATATGAAAAAAATCTGTTCCACTTTTTTTTTTAATGAGTAATTCATAACAATAATTGTCACATTCATTTTATCAATTGTGTGAATAAGAACGGCGTCCGTTGTTACCGCCACGCATGTTTTGAAATTATTCACAAACGCTTGAAAACACTACCGTAACGTAAAAAGTACATGCAACGTCGGTTTCGACACCAAAACGATTGGAAGTATTGCATTAATCTCACGGGGCGTTGCTTGCAGTGAAATCTGTATCAAAAACGGGGTCGGTATCGTGCAATTATGAGCGCATCGGCTCATCCGCTCCGATTGACAACCGCCGCGCCGTGACGTTTCGAAGCCGTTTCTGACCATAGCCGATACTATAATGGGTAAAATTGTTACCGATAGAAGTTTTTCTAATGAAATACGTACTTAACAAATAAGTCGTCGTGGCCTAAAGGTTAAGACGTCCGGTGCATTCGTATCGAGCGATGCAACGGTGTTCGAATTCCGCAGACGGGTACCAATTTTTGATGAAATACGTACTTAACGTTCACGATTGACTAACACGGTGAAGGAATAACATCGTGTAATAAAAATCAAACATATAATTTAACTCAAAATTATTATTTGGTAATTACTGGTGGTAGGACCTCTTCTGAGTCCGCACGGGTAGGTACCACCATCCTGCCTATTTCCGCTGAGAAGCAGTAATGCGTTTCGGTTTGAAGGGTGGGGCAGCCGTTGTAACTGAGATCTTAGAACTTATATCTCAAGGTGGGTGGCGCATTTACGTTGTAGATGTCTATCGGCTCCAGTAACCACTTAACACCAGGTGAGCTGTGAGATCGTCTACACATCTAAGCAATAAAAAAATAAAAAAAAAACTGACTACAGTTTCTAAACTCTAGATAAATACAGCAAACAAAAGACGACGTCGCCTGTTTCCAATTAGATCCGGAAGAATCTCACTTGTCTCTAATGCTCTGTGCTCTGGAGTCCACAGATTAGTTTTATTCAGTAAACAGACAAAACGATATGCATTGTGAATTTGTAAAGTACTAGACTTGGCATTTTGCTATAGTTTCTAAGTATATTTGTAGGTACGTTCACCTTCTGATATCGACATTTCAACGTTATGACATTTCGATGTTACCTACTCCATTAGACTGTTCTAAATTCATTTCAATACAAGCACAATGAATACCGATAAATTATAAACACGTAAACGTTCATTATTGTATAGATTTAAATTATTGCCTATTCCGGTGTGGATTGATGGAGCAAAACCGTGGCAGCGCATATGGGAAATCATGTGAAAACATCAGAACAATGTATACAAAAGATATGGTAACGAGCGCACATTATCGGCATTAAAAAAGTGGGATGGGCATTGAATTGCATCGGCTTGTTCGAGTTTAGTGATCTATTAGTAAAAGCGGCCGTGCGAAGCACAATACATTCCAAGTGCCTTATTTTTTTTTTCTACCTAAGCTGGTGGTAGCCTTATGTATGGTAGCCGATAGCTATGCCAGTGTTCCAAGTGCCTGCCATATGATTTGTGCCTGAGTTTTGTGTTCGTTTGTTCATATCCATATCGAAGGCAATTTAACAGATTATGCTGCATCAGCCCTCTGTAATGTATTGCCCGAAAGAATCCCAATATAGTTCTTATACTAATGCACCTACTATGGTCCTTATGACACAACACGTTTCTAAAAGCAAAAATTAATCCAGCACTAAAATGTCTTTATTACTCAGCGCTAAACAGCCGACTCCAAACTAATTTATAAAGTACACAGTATATACACTCGTGGTGGGTTGCCTAAATTCATAAGCTGTAGCCTCATTTTTGTTCGTTTTATTGTCAACGTTTAATATATACTACATAATTCCTTCTCAAAATTTCTCTTTGTGTATATAATTTCCGAAAACTTTGAAGTCATCGTGGCCTAAAAGATAAGACGCACGGTACCATCGTATCGAGCGATGGAGCTGTATCAGTATTCGAATCCCGCAGGCAGGTATCATTTTTTCTAATGAAATACGTACTCGACAAATGTTCACGAATGACTTCCACGGTGAAGGAATAATATCGTGTAATAAAAATCAAACCGGAAACAAATATAATTTGCGTAACTACTGGTGGTAGGGCGTCTTGTGAACCCGCACGGGTAGATACCTCTACCTTGGGTACTTCTGCCGTGAAGCAATAAGGCGTTACAGTTTGAATGGTGGGGGGCAGCCGTTGTACTGTAAAAACGGAGACTTAAAACTCATGTCTCAAGATGGAGGGCGGCATTAACGTGTTTGATGTCTAAGAGTTCCAGTGATCACTTAACACCAGATGGACCGTGAGATCGTCCACCCAACTTAGGAATTAAAAAAAAAACAATTTATATACAACTAGCTGACCCGGCAGACTTCGTAGTGCCTCAGTCGATAAGTAAAAGACCTAAGCTTTTGTATAAAATAAACTTAAAACACATAAAAGGAATCCGTCCGACGGGGGACACATCAAAGGAAAAACAAAATTGTTATTTTTATTTAATTCCGAACATTTTCATATTTATCTAGCTTTTAAACCTTCTTTGGACTTCCACAAAGAATTCAAGACCAAAATTAGCCAAATCGGTCCAGCCGTTCTTGAGTTTTAGCGAGACTAACGAACAGCAATTCATTTTTATATATATAGACGAAGAAGATAGAAGATTGATTTTGAAATAACCACCGTTCGTTTACCATTCGTTTGGCTTCATTGAAGCAAACGCTTTTTAAATTGATATTAGAAACAGCTGACGAGTGCCGGAGTATCTTGACTACAAAATACACGATATTGTTGATGCAATACCCAATAAAGAGCAATTACCTTATTTAAGGAACGCATATTCACATGTACAGCATACGTACTTAAGTCATTCAGAGCCTTATCTTCGACAAGCTATTCAAGGTCAGTTTTGTATTGAATGAGTCAACTTTAATACAAATGTTTGGTTACTAAAATAAAAAATCCGCTTACTAAATATACATTTAACAGAAATCATGAAATATAAAAATATATCTAAAACCTGCTAGAAAGTTGCGTGAATGTCATAAAATTATATGATATTTAATTCGCGAAACACTTCCTTGAATCAAATTTTATTGTAATGTTCTGCAATTTCGGAGATGGAATCGCACGATATGAAGATAAGAAAAAACTTGTTTGAATTATAAAAATATATATCTTATGATCATCATCAAATTTCGTAAATTTGCATACAGTTATAGTGACCAAACTCAATTATAAAAACATAAAAACGTTTAGTTATTTCTACTAATAAACTTCTAATATTCATGAGGATACGTAATGCAGATTTAAACCAAATTGTCATTATAATAATTTCAGCGATTGATACATTTATTTACGATCATAAGCTAAGCATGTGATTAAACAATAAAACAATGTTTTATAAATCTTACCCGCTGTTAGATTTTATAATATTGCAAAGTACAGCTCAGAAACACTAAGTAGAGTACAGTACAGTAGTCTCTTGATCAATCCGTTAAAGTTAATGAGCACGTTCACTTTTCATGACAATTGTTTATTTATTGTCTCGGATTAGGTTCCCGGCATTTTCACGCGGCACGATCCAACGAACGCGCGGCGAGATCGCGAACCGTGAGGCACATGTGAAATCAGCTGTGGCTGTGGCACTCGGCATCCGCGCGACTAGCGGTACGCAGCCCCCCACCCGCCTACTCCAGACCTGACGCGGACACCAGATAAGCTTACACCGATAAGATTACGTTGGTGTTTGTTTAGGGATAAACGCATTATCATCTGAAATGAATTGCAAAACGGTGAGAGTCGGATGCCGTTTGATATGCATATACGTATATCTTAAGATGTCAAAATATGCAATATTTGAAACGATTTTTGAGTTGATTGATTTTATTTTATCCCAAAATCGCGTCTGTTGTATTTAAAGCCGTGCAAAAAATATTAATTCACGTCATTCATTAATGTTGAACACATTAAAATATTTTCAACATCCAACTCACGCGAGACGTGTTAATTTTTTGCCGGGATTCTTCTATTCTATGATATTTACAGCACCATGTATCGTTTTATTATTAAATACAATAAAAATATTACTGGCAGTCTTCTCGTGTCGTGACATCCACACAACATGGTTTTATTAATTTAAAATTTTGTCTGTGTATTCTCTGAGAATTGACTAAGCTTATTATAAAAATTTACATGTTATTACGCTACGAGGGCAAAGATCGAAAATAAGATCGCAGTGTTCAAAACTAAAAACAAGGAGTTTCGTATTATTATTTAAAAAAAAAATATTTCAAATTTAATGGACATGAAACTACGCAGCATACCTAAAGTCGTTTAAATTATATTCATACTCAACATTTGTTAAAATTGTACTTTCCTAAAATTAAAAAACAAATGTAGTATCGAAAAAACTAGAACGTCAAAGAACCCAAATATGTGATAAGAAGTACCTTCAATTCTTACAGTTCAGGTATTTCGTGATATGACACAATTTTGAAGAGTACCTTGAAAGCGTGGGAAGAAATACACAAACAATACTATCACACGACGACATCGGATGTAAAATCCAGGGTCATTCTTGATTAACTTTGTGCAAATCGATTTGGTATACAATTAAAATCGAATACAGCTAATACGTATTTCAATTACCAAGTTATTAGCTTCAAAATGAAAGTTACCAACAAATTGCTTTGGATTGTTTCAACTTATAATTAATGTTATATAATTTTAACAACAAATTAAATATGTAGCAATATTGATTCTGCATGTTAAGCTGTTTCTAGTAATTTGAAAAATGTCAATTTATATCATCAAGCGAACTTTTATCAAACTGATAATAAAAAAATTATCAATCTAATAATATTTTATTCAATTGTCTTATTTTGGTTATTCAGAATATTTGAGAAACACTTATTGTCAATCAATTGTTACTTTTCAACTTTGTTTTAACAACTTTCGGTTTATGGACAGCTGAAATAGAATAAAAGCCATTAATTGCAGCTATAGTTATTTTGTGAACTTTGGTAATTTCTCTTCGATCACTAGTTTACTGGTGGTAGGATGTCTTGAGAGTCCGCACGGGTAGGTACCACCACCCTGCCTATTACTGCCGTGAAGCAATTAAACGTTTCGGCTTGAAGGGCGGGGCAGCCGTTGTACTGTTACAACTGAGACCTTGGAACTCATGTCTCAAGGTGGGTGGCGGCATTTATGTTGTAGATGTCTATGGGCTCCGATAACCACTTAACATCAGGTGGGCCGTGAGCTCTTCCATCCACGTAAGCATTTTTAAAAAAAAGTATCGTGTATCTCAATGTAAATATATGGATACATTTCAACGATATTCAACCAACACCTTCTCAACTAAAAAAGCCAAAAATACATAACACACAATTGAAATTTATTCAACCATTACTTTAATATATATTTTAATAGCTTTGTGCTTAAAAAAATGTATACTCGTCGCTTACAAGGCATGATAATAAATAATATTCCGTGGCTAAAGTGAACAGACAAAGAGTTGCATGAGGCTCCGAGGCGTGGGTTGCCGACTACTGGCCTAATACATTTTAAATGTTTTAATGGAACTAGATAGAATACATATGATACATATACACTTAAACAATATGTTGACTGAGAACTATATGAGTTGAAAACTATGTTGTGGCTTCAAGTAATAAAATCAAACCGCCAAATTTGCGGAAACACTGATGGCTATTTTTTTTACGTAGATACGTAATTTTCTGTTGTAAATCGGTCATGCATTCAGGTGTGAAGATCGAGATACTCGTTGTACAAATCAATTGATACTTCGATCTCCGGTCTACAAAAACCATGAACACAACTTAAAAACATTTCAAGGTAAACGCGAACTAAGTCACGGGATGCACCTAGCTTTCAATGAGTTCGCTTAATTTAACTCATTAGTAGTACACACAGACCAGATCTTACAATCTACACAAATAAAAAAACGAATCGTAAAGTGAAGCAGCCTGTCTCCGAGGTCCTTAACTCTCTAACAATAACATTAAACTACTTTCTATATATAATGCTTATAGAATACTGATTTACTTTCTTATCTCTTAGTCTGCTAGGTATATTTCACTGAAGTTGGGAAAGTTGAAATAAAGCTGTGCCTGTGTATACTCCTTTTTAGACTTCATTTTAATTAAAATTTTGTTTATAGCTTATGCAGTGTTACTTTAGTACGCGATAAATACCTATTGCAGGTGTCGTTTTGTTCATGACAATATCATGTACATATTATATATGATAACTTTAATAGTATTGCCGAGTGTTGTCAACGCCAATAGGTTGTCATTGCTAAAGTAAGTAAACATTTTAGCTGTATAGAATCAGTACTAAGTATTGTTAAAGATACAGAGAGGTTGGAGTGGAAAATGAAGAACTAAAAACGGCTGCATAGCAACTCTTTGTCAGTTTTCGAAGTTACTTAGTAACAATGTCACTTCTATTTGACATTGAATTTTCGAAAACAAATAATAACCAATGTTCAAACATTAAAACAGACCCAACACAATTAATTTGGAAATAGGTGCCATACATTGGTACAATAGAATTTAGAAGAAAAATTTTCAAATAAAAATTCTAATATACGTAACAAGTTATTTTGTTTTAGTTTCAACTGAGTCTAATAAAATGCCGCAGAAGTAACACCGAAGAAATACATATATAATAATACATCTAATAAACCTCTTACGTAAGGGTTCTAATTTCAATCTCTCACTTTAATAAAATTTATCATTCATTGGCTATACTAAGCGGCGGTCCGAGTAGTATTTTTGATTTTGTTCTTCTCAATAGGTAAACGGACGTAGTTACCCGAAGGCATAGACATTACAATGTGAATGCCACCACAGCCCACCTTAAGTAAGTATATAGCGTTTTCACTTACAAGTAGCTCGCAATACGTAAAATAATAATGACATTATCAATGACATACCACGAACTGTCGATACATGAGGTGCCATGTGGCAGGGTAGTTGTAGACTGCGCATTGCAAGGTTTTTCAGCGAACATAGTTAAAATCGTTCGACTTCATTGATAGGTAAGTGGAGCTTTCTCTTAGATGAGAATACTTCTTCCTGTATATGAACACTTCTTTAAAGGACACCCTAAGAGTCCGTGATCAGTGTTGGTAATACTCTTAATCTATACAAATCCAGTTCTTCCCTACGGCTCTGACCATGTCATTCGTTTGTCTTATTTATTGCATTTTGACGTCCAGTTGGAAGTTTGCCATTATTTTACTTTTCTACCCTATCTATACTCACTTCTACTCACAATTTTGGGACGTTTTATGCATTTGGTCTTCGTCGCCTAAAGTATCATCTTGGCTTAAAGGATAAGACGCTCGGTGCATTTGTATCAAGCAAAGCAACAGCGTTGAAATCCCGCAGGCGGGTACCAATTATTTTTATGAAATCTGTACTCAACAAATATTCACGACTGACTTCCACTGTGAAGGAATAACATCGTGTAAAAAAACCGAAAAAAGCATAATTTGCGTAATTACTGATGGTAGGACGTCTTGTGAGCCCGCACGGGTAGGTAGGTACCACTGCCTTGGCTATTTCTGCAGTAATTAGTTTCGGTTTGAAGGATGGGGTAGCTGTTATACTGTCACAACTGAGACCTCAGAGCTTTTGTCTCAGGATGAGTGGCGGCTTTTATATTGTAGTTGTCTAATTGAATCATCAGAATTTATAATGGCGGTAAATAAACGTACCCGAATGGAATAGTGATATCTATATATTAATACATGAAGCAAAAACTTTGTATCCCTTTTTACGAAAATTGCGCGGACGGAGGAGTATGAAACTTTCCACTTATAGAGAATATAGAGAAGAAGTGCACAATGCTAATTTTTTTTTTAAATAATGCATAAAAGATACATTAAATCAATAATGAAAACATTACACACACTACATACCATGTATTTAACGCACACACGCATGCATACTATTTATTGTCAAACTTTTGTTCTTGACGTCTGTGGTCAAATTGAGAATAGATTAAATATTGTTTGTCTTTATTAATATTTTTTTATAGAGTAGCCATAGCGAAATTTGTGATTATAGAAGTATAAAATACAATCATAATAGTGTACAAACTTACAATTCCAATTAATTATAGTCGAATTTCGACTACTGCGGGACCTCTAGTCTAAACAAAAAACTGTCGTGATTCAACGCCGGTAGAATTCGTGGGACACGGGTAGGTATGTTGCACGCTCCAATTACTTGCGGCCTCTTTGAAAAATCGTTTATTTTGTGTATCTACGTGATTACTGTCATTGTAATATACCTATGAATTAACAATAGTGTAAAATCTACAGAACCAAAGCCACAAAATGAGGCATTTTTTTATGAAATTGTATTTTGTATTATCTTAACGCTTAATCAGTTGTTATTAAATTATTATTTTTTTATTGCTTAGACGTGTGGACGAGCTCACAGCCCACCTGGTGTTAAGTGGTTATTGAAGCCCATAGACATCTACGACGTAAATGCGCCACCCACCTTGGGATATAAGTTCTAAGGTCTCAGTATAGTTACAACGGCTGCCCCACCCTTCAAACCGAAACGCATTACTTCTTCACGGCAGAAATAGGCATAATAATATTATA